AATCATGAAAGCAAAAGGCATCTGAGTGCATGCAGAGTGCTTCCCTTCTGACAACAGCAGCTACAGATGCCAGATTAAGGACTAGCGTTTCCAGAGCAGATGGCATGCTGCTGAAGCAGGTCTAACATCCAAAATATATTTTCATAGAAATGAACCACCCAATGCTAGCATGGTGGAGTGGTTTGAGTGTTGGACTATGACTCTGCAGACCAGGGTTCGAATCCCAGCTCAACCATGTAAACCCACTGGGTGACCTTGGTCAAATCACAATCTCTTAGCCTCAGAGGATGGCAATGGCAAACCCCCAATGAAGAATCTTGCCAAGAAACCCCCAGGATAGGGTTGCCATAAGTCGGAAACAAGTAAAGTTTAGTTTTTAGGAAAACATGAAAAACACAGGTCACAAGGGACAACAACCTAGCTCTACAGAGTGTGGAAACAATGCTATACAGAATTAAAGCTATAGAGACTGTAGAAACAATATCCTCTGAAGGAGAATTTAATTTCAAATTGGGCTTGAATCTGTTGCAGCAACAGCAATAGCATTTACATTTCTATACTGCTTAACAGTGAACTAGCACTCCTTAAGCAGTTTACAATCTGTAAGCCAATTGCCTCCAGCAAGCTGGGTACTAATTTTACCAACCTACGAAAGGATGGAAGGCTGAGTCAACTTTGGAGCCCTGGCATCGAACTCACAACCTCGTGGCTGCAGAATAAGGAGCGTTGCAGAATAAGGAAACATGACCGCCTGTTTTCTGCTGGCATTCTGTTGCAGAATAAGGAAACACGGCAGCCAGGAGTGACATTGCCAGGGACCACTAGGTTATTAGAAGTAAACTGAACCATAGACTCACAGAAAGAGGCTCCCTGTGTTTTGAATTCAGGTTGGAGGAGGCCTAGCTTACAGGTCAAGCATTCTCACCAGAAAGGCTGCCAACATATTAACTGGCAGAAGCGACCCGCAGGTGCATGGAGCAGGCGGCAGGTAGACGGGATGGCGTCAGATCTCCTTTCAAAGAAATGCAATGACAGTTTTCAAGGGAGACAAGATTTCTGGAAACGTCGGCGTCTATTCTACCTTTAACAGGAGACAAGAGAAATGACAGATCCCTCGCTACAGCATACAGGGAGGGGCTGCAGTTTCTCTCCACCAGCCCTTCGCACACGCTCTAGTGAGCAGCAAAGCTTTAGAGCTCCCGACATGTACGCCAAGAATTCTCCAGCAATGCAGCCCAGGACAAATTAATGACGATAATAACCAAACAAAAACCGAGCCCCTCGGTCGCCTCTGTGCCGTAGGGACCCAAGGCACAGTCAGGGTGTGGAAAGCCAGCTGGGCAAAAGATCTATTGTGAAGAACCATGCAGCCCTTCCTCACAAGTGGCACCTGTGCACCAGCTCCCTTTCACGCCCACCAAGCATGGCGCAACACCTCCCAGGAGGAAGGGGGGCATTACTTCTGCCCTTGCGCACCGCCAGAGGGAGGTGTTTTATGTGATCCCATCGCTGCATTGAAGCCTTGTGTGTACACACACACACAGAGACACATACAGAGCCATGTTGCAAGGAAGGATCCCTTGTGGGAAGTCCATGGCGCCAAGAAGCGGGTGGGAGCAGAGCATTAAGTCACCTTGGAAAAATCCAACCAGGTATAGAAGAGATGGACTGATGACAAGCACAAGTATTACAATAATATTGTATATACAGATAGGATATTATCAACAGATAGAGTAGATAAACAGGCCCTGCCCAGACATAGCCATCGCACATCCAATCTCACAAATAATGAGATTTGCTGCCCTTCCAGACACAATGCTGCTCCATGCACACATCTAGATGCCCTGTCTCAAGCAACCAATGCGCCTGTAGGAACTTTTGGGTGTCAACCTCCCAGATTTATAGAAGAAGAAGAAGAAGAAAGAAATGGGCTGCAAGAGACAGACAGACAACAGGTCTGTCAACAGAGGTGGAAGAGGATAGAGGGGGAATGGATGGGTGTGGGCAGGCAGGAGAAAGAGCTAGTTGGAAGGAGATGTGTGTGTGTATTGTGTGGGATCAGAAAAAAGGATGACCCCCCTCCCATAGAGAAAGAAAAGCAGACAAAGGTTCAGGGTAGGCAGTGGGGAAAGACCCTAGAGGGGGCCGCTTGCCTGAGAAAAAAACAAGATTTCCATGTAAGGCGATGGCCAGCCAAAGGGGAGGGAAGAGGGATGGATGGATGGTGTGGGGAATGGGGGGGAAAGAAGGGCTGGGGGAGGCAAGGCAGGATGACAGATGGGAGTCTGGGATGGAAGGGAGGGAGGAGGATCAGACTGGCCAGAAGAATAGACCACCCTCCCCTCTTCCTTTCCAACCCCCTCCTTGTCCAGTGGAGGCAGGGGGACCAGACCCAGCCTCCTTTTCCAGGACAGGTCCTCCATCTCAGCCTCTTGTCCAGGAGGAAGTCCAAAACATCCCCCATTTGGAGCAGGGCAAAGAAGCATGAATTTGTATTTATAGGAGTGTTTTTGGCTTTGATTTGCTCGTGCTTTTCTTCAACACCCTCCATCCTGAACCTGCCTAAGAGGCATGGGTCTACATTTATAGGGGTGTTTGTAGCTTTGATTTGCTCAGGTCCTCCATTTTTTCTTCAACGCCCTCCATGTGGAGCCTGACTAAGAAGCATGGGTTTATATCTATAGGAGTTGTTTTAGCTGTTGCTTGATCATGTCCTCCATTTGGAGCCTGACTAAGTATAGCATGGATGTCTATTTATAGGAGTGCGTTTAGCTTTTAATTTGCTCACGTCCTCCATTTTTTCCTTCAACATCCTCCCTTTTGAGCAGGGCTAAGAAGCCTGGGTTTATACCTATAGGAGGTGTTTTAGCTGTTAGTTGCACACTGTCCTCCACCTGGCGCCTGACTAAGAAGCATGGCTTTCCATTGAG